CTCCCTATATCCTCTCGTCCTTACCACTTTTAACAGACCTTCCTCCTACCTTAACTCATTTAATCAACTCCGACTTCTCTAATCACCTTTACCGATAGGTTGATGGATCAGCATCAACAATCTTCAATGACATTTGTGCCACTATTTTTCCAGGATGTGGTAACATTTTCAGTATTGAATCACTCTAATCTGGACCACCGAATCTTATGATACCGGATTGATAATCCCATCAGTATCAAACTACAATGTATGGGGCGTTGATCCCTGCCACTCAATCATCCCAGGGGTAATGTACAGCATTTATCAAGTCATGAAACATATGGGGGCGAATCTTCAAAAGCGCAACACTCCGTTAATCACCTGAAGAATTAGTCAATAACTTTGAAGCCCCGTCGCTCCCATGAAATCTCAACTCGACCCTCGGCCTGGGTGGTTCTGTGAGGAACCGCATTGCTGCTATTGGTAGGTGCAAAATATAATGAAGCTGAGAAAAAACTCTTTATCGAATCCGACTTTTTTCTATTCCAAAGTTTATACTTCGCGGGCTGGTGGAAGTACTATTTCGTAGAATTGCAAGTGGCATAGAAAAGAGAAAAACTATTAATAAAACCCGTACAGTTGTGGAGCTACATGGACAAGTCCTCGAAGCTCCAATAATCACCAACTATTAATAAAGTGAATTGGTGTAACCACAGCCAAGTTTGCCCAGACATGAAGGTCCCGTTGTGCTCAGGCTGAAAGGACCTTCATACCAGAAACTTTGGAAATTATTAAAAAAAAGTGGGGTGCACCGTATTGCTCTGAATGCACTCCGCACTCCCGCAGTTACGCACCGGCTACCGAGTTTGCTCGTTGTGATCTTCGTTCGCCAGTACTTGACAATGCAGGGTCATGTGCCTTCAACCCGTCTACAAGTAGTCAAGTTTCAGTTGTTGTCAGTGCGTGTATAGTGCAAATGTAATCGACGGTAGAACGTTGGTTTGTAAATGATTTTTCTCCTATTCTGATCATCTTCGCTATTATAAAAGCATCATAATAGTCAGTGCACATTTCTTTTAAAATTTAGTTACTGAGCTTCTTTGCTGGTTTCTTTGAAATTTTAAATGTCTGAGACGCTACATTTTGGCTAAAAACTCAAGTTTTCTAGTGCAACCTATTACCTTGACAGAGGTAGAACTTACGCTACTGATACTGCTTAGTTCATTCTTCCGTCGCCACACTTGTCTAAATGTCTGAAATTATCTTAACGCTACTATTTTGAGTATGTATCTACCTACCTATACACAGGATTGTAAGTTTATGATAGAAGTGTCGGCACTGACGTAATAGGCCCATGGCCTGTTGCCGATTCTTGTACTTTTCGTGACTTGATTCCACAAGGGATCCGGCCTTTGTAACCCTATCTTTCCATAACTGACGATTGATTGAGATAGCTGCTAGACTAATTGCGTCCGTAAGCTGCTAGGCATTTCTAGACTGAACATATGATCCTGCATAGCTTCGTCTAGTTAGTGCAATGGGCCTATTTCTGTTGAGGTTAGGTTAGTAATCAGCATGACTAATTTTCGACGGACATTTGTTACATTAAAGCTATACCCAAGTTCAGCTTCGTGCACGATACTCTTAACTACACAGAAAAGTGTATTAACAGCTTTTATAAAATGAAAGATTTCAAATTTGGGCATCTAGTGAAATTTGTTGTCTGAGCTGAAGACCGACATTCGAATAAGTTGTCTATGATAATCAAGTCATAAAACTAAATTATTCTTTAGTGCCTTAGGAATTAGTGTTTCTGACCTAACTAAGGGCGTCAGGGTATCGACGGTATGTAGGTATTCGAATCAGGAAAGATTAACTTTCTAACATGTGCAGTCAGTGAATTCTCATGTTATAGGGATCATCATTATATAATATATTGTATTTTTTAATTTCACGCTTTCCTTAATAGTTTCGTATATATTCCCAATCACTATAAGTGGAAGAAAATTTTTAAATGAATCAACAGGAAATGGCTCATTGGGTTAATCTTTAAGATTGTCGGATCGAGTTAAGTTTTCACTGCCAAGCCGTATAAGAATCAGCTCAGGATTAAAGCTCTGCAATCCTAATAATTTGAGTTTTGATCAATTTGAAAATCTCGGGTATGAGCGAAAGAAATTCCTCGACGAGATCGCGTATGGCGCAGATTAGGCCTTGTGGAACTGTTTATCGTCTAATGTAAATCATTTATTTAATCGGGGAAAGTTTTTGCCAACCACTTCTGTCATAAATTTATTAACAAATGCGTTCTATTGTCTCTATTTTCAGATGCGTACTGAATACACGAGGAGTGGGCACTCCTGTAGGGGGTGGGGGAGTTATTATATATATCATGTACAAGGGGGGGTTATTTTTATTTATACCAAGATCGTGCATGGTGCAGCATTGATGATGTTGCTGCCCAACATAGCTCACCATTGTGCTCATGTCTTCAGCATACCGTGGATGAAACAGCATACATGGTGAGTAGACTTATCCTTTATCTACTAATTGTAACTCTAGTAGCCGGGATTCTCGGTACGAATAGCATTGATGAAAGTTTATGTATCCGTAGATACATAAACTGGAAAGCAACTCGTAATCTGAGATGAACGCATCACTGTTAAAAATTGGGGTGCAGTTTATTAACAATTTTTTGTTACTAAATGCGCTCGATAACGTACAGTTTAATTCTTCCCAATGATCTTATCTAAGTAATGAAACAATTTTCCGGAACTAAACCCTTTGAATAGCTGCCGTATTTTTAATTCGTTTTCCTTGATAATAGCAGCATATATCGCGTGGCGTCAGAGGCGGGGATTCCTCGAAATTTGCTCTTTATCTATATGACCATAAATATAGGTATGCATATAATCGCACGTGTTTATGTACATATATTTCCTCGTACGCTTTTCCTTCTCAAGGCGCATTACTGACGCATTACTTGGCATTTATTTCTTAACAAATTAATATTTCATGTTACGAATTTATATGTATATCGTCTTCAAATTCCTACCTGCTTATTATTTCTTCCAGGAACTGTATTTTTTGTTGTAATTAACTTAGGTGAGATAGCTTAGACATCTGTTATAAATTATTTATTTAATGAATACTAATCATTTAGTTTGTTTGGTAAATACTTATTTTACGACTTCATTCAACTCGTTACCCTCTGATAAATTGGCCCTCAGAAGACCACATAACGAGGGTTACCCTCTGACAACGCAGACATTTTAATTTTTTAACATAATTTTTAACATCCATTATTTCATTTTTCATTATCTTATCATTATTCTTTTAAATTGGCGTGAAATGTAAATTTTTCGCTGTATCAGAGCGTTCCAAGTTAATACATTTTATTATTATTTCAAATATACATATATTTGGTATAACAATATACAGTACCTATAAAACAAATGTTTCACCTAGCACAACACAGGGCTTAAGGCCGCGGGTTTAGAAGGTTTAACTAATCCAAGACGTTGGTATGCCGCTAGTTTCTTATCTCAAAAGATAAGCGGTTATTGCCTACCTTGGATCCTGATACTTTTATTATAACATGGATGTATATATTCATATAACATGAATATACAGATTCTTATAACATGAACATTGTTAGGTGTTTTGTCGCGTTGTTGATCAAAATTCAAATTTTGTACGATACTTGGGACTCTTCATTACATATATGAAATAATGAAATAATTTTGTTGAGATAAATAATGGCTGCTTGGATGCGTACTTCTGTCCAACGGAAATTGTACAATGATGTACAGTATATTGGCTAGCTTTATGATGTATATTGGCTAGCTGTATGATGTATGTATATTGGCTAGCTGTATGATGTATGTATATTGGCTAGCTGTATGATGTATGTTGGCTAAATGTATGACGTCATTCACTGCAGGTGAATGACATCGCCGCTGCCCTGTTATACTTATAAAAATACTGCGTTTAAACGTCGCTGAAGCAGTAAGAGGCAGTTAAACTGCAACTGAACACACAGCCGGCTAACAACTGTTCTTGTGAGGGAAAATGTTCATGGGAACAGTTCATGTTCCATGAAGTGAATAGTTCTCTTGCGGTGAATTGTTCCCTGGAGGTGTGAACTGTTCTAATGAGGTACTGTAATCTCTTTAAAGTTTACTTTTGATTGGACAGTTTACTGTCTGGAGAACAGTTTACTGTTTGGAAAACAGTTTACTGTCTGGAGAACAGTTTACTTTCGGGTGAACAGTTATTTGTTCGGTGAACTGTTATCTGTCCGTTGAACAGTTATCTGTCGGGTGAACATGTTATCTGTCGGGTGAACAGTTTACTGTCGGGTGAACAGTTTACTGTCGGGTGAATAGTTTACTGTCGGGTGAACAGTTTACTGTCGGGTGAACAGTTTACTGTCGGGTGAACAGTTTACTGTCGGGTGAACAGTTTACTGTCGGGTGAACAGTTTACTGTTGGGTGAACAGTTTACTGTCCGGCGAACAGCTTACTGTCGGGTGAACAGTTATCTGTTCGGTGAACAGTTTACTGTCGGGTGAACAGTTTACTGTCGGGTGAACAGTTTACTGTCGGATGAACAGTTTACTGTCGGGTCAACAGTTTACTGTCGGGTGAACAGTTTACTGTCCGGTGAACAGTTTACTGTCGGGTGAACAGTTTACTGTTCGGTGAACAGTTTACTGTCGAGTGAACAGTTTACTGTTCGGCGAACAGTTTACTGTCTGGTGAACAGTTTACTGTCTGGTGAACAGTTTACTGTCTGATGAACAGTTTACTGTCGGGTGAACAGTTTACTGTCCGGAGAACAGTTTACTGTCCGGAGAACAGTTTACTGTCTGGTGAACAGTTTACTGTCGGGTGAACAGTTTACTGTCGGGTGAACAGTTTACTGTCGGGTGAACAGTTTACTGTCAGGTGAACAATTCGTCATCAGGTGACGAGTATATAAGCGGGTCAGGCACTCTGCGCTTGCATTTGTAGTTCAGTGTTCGGTGGAAGAGGTTTGGTCTGTGCTGCTGAGCTCCTTATTTTTCTGTGTAGATAAGACGCTGTGTTGTATCTTGTGTCACGGTAAGGCAATAAATGTGATGTAGTGTTTATAACATTCAAATGTTGATGCGTAATTAAAATTACCACAATAAAATTAACTTCATTCTAAATACGTGCTAGTTGATGGTGTTTGTGCAGGAGATTTTAATACAAAATATTTATTTTAGTTAATCATTTTACGTTAATGACCAGCAACATCACCTGCTTCATGCCCGTGCCAATTCCTGGTTCATTCTGCCTCTGATGATTTCCTTCAGTAATTTTCTTAATACTTTTACAATCACCCATTTTTAACGGTAGCTGTTATTATGGCCACATTTAACGGCTGCTGACAGGATGGCCACATTTAACGGCCGCTGACAGGATGGCCACATTTAACGGCCGCTGACAGAATGGCCTCATTTAACGGCCGCTGACAGAATGGCCACATTTAACGGTAGCTGTTATTATGGCCACATTTAACGGCCGCTGGCAGAATAGCCACATTTAACGGCCGCCGGCAGAATGGCCACATTTAACGGCCGCTGACAAGATGGCCGCATTTAACGGCCGCTGAAAAAGATAACCAAATATTACTCAAGAATAAAATATACTTGGATCCTTACAGACATGAACCGCACGGTGTTGGTGGTGGGGCTGGTGGGGGTTGCTGCGGGGTTGCTGGTTGGGGGGTTGATAGGACACTTCGCAACCCCCGACGCCCCAACCATCCTCGTTGACCCCGAGGTCACTGACGATCAGCAACGTATCCTAGAGTGAGTCAGGGGTCATAGGTCAAGGTTGTTAGTGAGTCATCATAGAGTGAGTCACAGGTCAAGGTTGTTAGTGAGTCATCCTAGAGTGAGTCACAGGTCAAGGTCAAGGTTGTTAGTGAGTCATCCTAGAGTGAGTCAGGGGTCATAGGTCAAGGTTGTTAGTGAGTCATCCTAGAGTGAGTCAGGGGTCAAGGGTCTAGGTTGTTACCGGGGCAGAAATCATTATAAATATCATGGGTAGAACAACGATATAGTTTTTTGTTGTTTTAAATTGTTATTTATTTGTTTATTTTTGTGGATTTGTCAAGCATCTTTGTAGTTGTTAGGGTGAATATTTTCAAAGAGAACGCAAGAGACCGAGTCTCGCAGAACTGAATCTCGCCCGCACATGGCGGAGGAATTCTTAATTCAAAATTAATTCATTAATATAAATTCATTATTGAATAGTAACCTATAGAAGAGGATGAGTTTTGGGATATCGGTACTCGTTAATAAAAGGTACCTGATTAATAATTGAGATAATTTTTAAATGATGGATTATTAGTTATGGGATAACGGGAAATATTTTAGTATGTAAGAACCTAGAGGTAGGCTAGTTATTGTATCACACGAACTAGTGGACAAATAGAATACAATAGTGACGAATACAATAGTGATAAATACAATAGTGATATATATAATAGTGATAAGTACAATATGAAAAATATAATAATGATAAATACAATAGTGACAAATACGATAGTGATAAATACACCAATAATACAACAGTGATAAATACAACACTGACAAATACAATAATGATAAATAGAATGATAATACAATGGTGGTGATGTCGCCTGCAGCCTGCACGCGTCGTACGTGGCAGACGGGTGGCAGGCGGGACAGACGGACGGCACAAACCAACAAATTCTGGACGCCATCAACACTACGAACCTGGAGGCTCATTTGAGGTCAGGGCTTCACACTCACTGGAAACAGTGGGACTTTGTCTAAATATTGACGCACTTATTGCTTTTGAGCGGGTAATCCTGACCCACTTTTCCGGCTAAATAACGAACCGCGCTGTGGGTGAGAAAGTGAGTTACTATTTGGACAATATGACTTGTTTTTTTTTTGAGTGTATTGAAGTCATCATAGGATCACAGAGATCATTTCCTGGCAGCGTTGATCACAGAGATCATTTCCTGGCCGCGTTGATCACAGAGATCATTTCCTGGCAGCGATGATCACAGAGATCATTTCCTGGCAGCGTTGATCACAGAGATCATTTCCTGGCCGCGTTGATCACAGAGATCATTTCCTGGCAGCGATGATCACAGAGATCATTTCCTGGCCGCGTTGATCACAGAGATCATTTCCTGGCAGCGTTGATCACAGAGATCATTTCCTGGCAGCGTTGATCACAGAGATCATTTNATGCCGTTTCAGGGGTTTTCATGCCGTTTCAGGCGTTTTCATGCCGTTTCAGGGGTTTTCATGCCGTTTCAGGCGTTTTCATGCCGTTTCAGGGGTTTTCATGCCGTTTCAGGCGTTTTCATGCCGTTTCAGGGGTTTTCATGCCGTTTCAGGCGTTTTCATGCCGTTTCAGGCGTTTTCATGCCGTTTCAGGCGTTTTCATGCCGTTTCAGGGGTTTTCATGGCGTTTCAGGCGTTTTCATGCCGTTTCAGGCGTTTTCATGCCGTTTCTGGCATTTTCATGCCCTTTTTTAATTCAGGCGTTTTCATGCCGTTTCAGGCGTTTTCATGTCGTTTCAGACGTTTTCATGCCGTTTCAGGCGTTTTTATGCTGTTTCAGGCGTTTTAATGCCGTTTCAGTCGTTTTCATGCTTATCATAGCGTGGTTTTGCATGTTGAAACGCATTCATGTATGTTTCCCTGTCCTCAGATCACGATAGTGAACGGCAGCGGGACGGTCGTGTTCACGTCGCAACATCGCGAGGAATTCGTGCAGAACGAAACAGACTTCGTGGACGCGTTCAATGCCTTCACCCCTGCAGGTAATTGCATATGAAACCCTGCCTTGTATAATAACACGAATGTATTAGATTTATTGTTCTTATTCTTATTTAAATAACCCGTCTCAAAGTCTTACCATCGAGCAACTTCATCTCATGATCCGTGATGAATTCAACAGGCTTCCTGACACCCTTGACAACAACTCTCACTGTGCTGATATATATATATGGGCCATATCGTAAAAAAAGCGTCACATTTTCTGCTGGAACGTCCTTCTGCCGGGCAAAAGTGGATAAGGATTGCCTACACCTGGGTCCGATCGCTAATTGAAAAAAGTCTTTATATTTTTCTGTGTAATACGTGACTCCCTTCCAAACATATCGGAGCGGTGGGCGCCATCTTGTGCAGAGGTCCCGCGGGCGCGGCTGCGGAGGACACAATTTTAAAATTATTTCTGCACCCTCTCCCCCTTAGTTCATCCCATACTTTAAAAAAAAAGTTAAGAGATTGTAAGTTCATTAGCCAATCACTGACGGCCTTTCGAGTAAAATCCACCAATCATAGACAAGAAAATAGAGCGTAAGTACTTACGTCCACTTAGCGAGTTTTGAAAGTATGGCCCCTGGACGCAGATCCAAAATGCGGAGCAAAATGGAGCGAGGGGCGCCATCCTGTTCAGCGATCCGGCGGACGTGGCGGCGGAGGGGGCGGATGAGGTATTCCCCGACACCTGGTGGTTGCCGGGGTCTGGCATGCAGAGGGGGTCGGCCTTCCTGGGGGACGGTGACCCCTTAACCCCCGGATGGCCCTCCACAGGTCAGTACCGCGATTAGCCAACGAGTAAAAACTTTTCAATCAGGATTCTAATTTAGAAACTGAATCTGGGACGAAGAAAACGAAAAATACTTCATGGAAAATACTCTTTGTGTATTGCGTAGTTGCACATGTCCCAGATACTTGAGGTTCGTACGTGTGGAGGGAAAAACGTTCGGTTCGTCTATCCTCTGAAACTTTATTGAAATTCAGAATTCTAATGAAATTATATCATTTTGATTTGATATAAAAAAAACATTTCACGCGTTACAGAGCATGCCCACCGCATACAGCCAGAGGACGCTGGCTTCCTGAGCATCCCTGCACAGCCCATAGGCTACGACGACGCCTTCGAAATTCTCAAGTGAGGGAAAGTTTAGAAGCAAATCACGGACATTGTTGTTCCTATCGCACGAAATGTTGGAAGCAAATGTGGTGTTTCGACCGCAGCTGAACCCAAGTTGGGGAGATAACAAGGCTAGATCTTTGTTATCTTCAGCGGACTTCATTGTACGCAAGGAAATTTCCTACGCAAGGGATGTTGCCTCTCCCTGTAGGATCAGACAGGAGTGATGGAATCGAATAGGAATAGGCCCGTGATGGAATAGGCCCATGGAGATTTCTGCGGGATATTTTGAGCTCTTAAATAGTCTAATGGGGATATGTAATGGCCTAATGGGGAAGAAATATGGATCTACGCCTCTCTGCTCAAATCATGGCACTCTGAACTGTAACCGCTGGGCCACCCTGCCCATATGAACGTTTCCTGTTCGCCAAACAGAACGATTTCCTCTTGTGTGTCCCTAACACCAACACGAGTTTGTGATCAGGCGGTTGGATGGTGACTCATCACCCGAAGAGTGGCGAGGTGGGTTGAACCTCACATACAACCTGGGTCCGGCCTTCCTGCCTGAGTACTCTGATGAGATCCTGCGCCTCAGCACCCACAACTACGAGGACACCTTCTTGTCCTACAACGTCTTCGGCACCATCACGGGCGCCGTCGAGCCTGGTTAGGCACCCCATTGATGTGTAGTGTTGGAATTGTTATTCAAATTACTGAATTGTATTTTGATGAGAAGATGGCAGATGTGGGCAGTATCGCGCTACATGTGGCGGCCGCTATACATTTTCAGTAGCGGTAGCGGCGCTACATTTAAGCAATTGTAGCGGTAGCGCCCGCTACATTTAGGGCATGTAGCGGTAGCGGTAGCGGCCGCTACATTTCAAAGTAGCGCTGCCCAGCTCTGGCAGATGGATGCTGAAGGGTATGAGATATAATAATTTATGTCTTGATTTTAAAGTTATTTATAATTATGATTTATGTTTTGATGAGAATCTTAATACGAGGGTAGATGATGAAGGGTATCAGAGTGAAGTTTTTAGACATAATAGAATAGAAATAGATAGAAATAGTCCCATGGCCTGTTACCGATTCTTGTACTTTTCGTGCATTGATTCACAAGGGATCCGGCCTTTGGAACCCGATCATTCCATAACTGACGATTGATTGTGATAGCTGCTGGACTTATTGGCTATTGCCTGGTCCGTAAGGTGCTAGACATTTCAAGACTGAAGATATTTAAATCTGGAAGTTATTTAAATATCTCGACTCTCATCTCGATGTTATTTAAATAGTGAATTGCATTTTGATGAAGATTTTTAACAAAGGTAGTTAACGAAGGGTGTGATTTGTTAGTTATGGGGAAAATAAATGCTTGGTGTGATTTATTATTAACAAATTCTCTTAATTCTATTTGATAAGTGATAAATTAAATTTCATTGATAATGAAAGCAAAATCTGGTCCACCAGACCGGTATGTGCTGCTGGGCAATCATCGCGACGCCTGGGGCTACGGGGCCAGCGACCCGTCCAGCGGGACGGCCCAGCTTCTCGAGACCGCCAGGGTCATGGCCCAGCTCGTGAAGCAGGGGGAGGGGTACAGGGTCCAGGGTCATGGCCCAGCTCGTGAAGCAGGGTGAGGGGGGAGGGGTGCAGGGTCATGGCCCAGCTCGTGAAGCAGGGGGAGGGGTACAGGGTCATGGCTCATGAAGCAGGTGGAGGCTCGTGAAGCAGGTGGAGGAGAGGGAGTGTATGGGATGAGGTATATAATACGTCCATGGTTAGGTAGCTTTCACTGAACACATTTGGCAGGGCGGGCATTTGTGTACCATATATGCATACTACTGAAATGGTGCGTTGAATTTCGCAATTTATCTAATTGTGAATCATTATTTTATCTGTTATATAAACATTATTTTCCTTTTGCACTATATATATTACTGCAACTTTTAAACGTTTATTTGCGTTTACTAAGAAATATATTTTGTGTCAGGTTGGCGCCCGCGTCGCACGATTGTTTTCTGCTCGTGGGGCGCCGAGGAGTTTGGGCTGATAGGCTCCACCGAGTGGGTTGAGGTGAGTGGGTTGAGGTGAATGGGTTAACCTATATCTACCCTCTCCATCACATGACCGTTGATTTATATTTAACATATTATTCAACCTAAGGTGAACGAATTAATATATATTTGTGCAGGAGCACGTGGACAAGCTGCAGGCGCGCGCGGTGGCCTACGTCAACACAGACACCTGCTCCACGGGACCCCTGCTGGAGGCCCCGGCCAGTCCGCTGCTCTGGGACATCATCAAGACCGTCACGGCGATGGTACGTCGTGAATAGTATTACTATCATTAGAATTATAAATATTATTTACATTACTGATATTATTGTTAGTAGTAGTGGTAGTATTGAAGTAGAGAGACCACCCTGCTTGCTCTGGGACATAATCAAGATCGTCACGGCGATGGTAGGTCGTGTATAGTATTACTATCATTAGCAATTATTAATTGATATTATTAGTTAATATTATTTGTATTATTGATGTTAATATTATTATTAGTACGTAGTAGTATGATGGTATTTAAGTTGAGACACCACCCTCCTTGCTCTGGCCTTCTCAAGACCTTCACGGCTGTGGTTGGTCGTTCATAGTATCATTATCATCATTATCAGTAGGTGTCGTGCTAGTATTAGTAGAGTAGTGAAGCAAGGTCAAGACGTAAGAGTCGCCACTGCATTAAAGTCGCCGTTCAGCAGTAGCAATGTATCTTTCAAGATTAAGTAAGTAAGATTTTCAGAATATTTGATGTTCACAATCAACGTAGCTTGGAGCGGTGACATTTAGGTTCGAAACTCGCAGCTAATTGTGAAAAATTTTCGTCGAAATCGGGAAAGTGGTAGAGAATCAAGACAGGCCCATAGAGTCACTAAGCTTACACCCGTAAAACGCATTTCTGCAAACGTTAGGTAATAAAACTATTGTTGTTATCAATTGTTGGGATGACTGAAAGGTCAACAACAATAGAATTGTGACTGTCAGCGGACGGATTGTTTCGCCCGTAGAAGAACCTCTAAGTGATGTGAGATAACAGGCTTCAGCAACCCGCTGATAGGAAGATAATAAAGAACATAGGTTTTTTCATGCTTCATATTGTGTCTTGTGAGGAAGCGTCGTGGTCTCCTTAGCGTTTGGAAGTGGGAGAAATTGCCTCTGAACTCAGTGCTGGTAGCGCTGTAACTAGAAGCCTTGTAACTAGAAGCCATGTAATTAGAAGCCTTGTAACTAGGACCCTTGTAACTAGAAGCCTTGTAACTAGAATCCTTGTAACTAGAAGCCTTGTAACTAGAATCCTTGTAACTAGAATCCTTGTAACTAGAAGCCTTGTAGCTAGAAGCCTTGTAACTAGAAGCCTTGTAACTGGAAGCCTTGTAACTGGAAGCCTTGTAACTGGAAGCCTTGTAACTGGAAGCCTTGTAACTGGAAGCCTTGTAACTGGAAGCCTTGTAACTAGAAGCCTTGTAACTGGAAGCCTTGTTACTAGAAGCCTTGTAACTAGTAGTTCCGGGCGCTGGCTTGAGGTTTGAAGAGGAAAACCGCCGCAGTAAAGTGTAAAGCCACTAATTTAGGCACACATTTTTGTCTCCCAAAGTTTTTATTTCCGTAAAAGATTTATTTCGTTCATTATGTAAATGAGGTAAAAACATTCACGATTTACTTATGCTTGAAAAAGTTAAATTTTAGTATAATAGAAATAACACTTTTGCACGTTTTTTTGTATAACTAAAATGTATAGGATAATGTCTATTGAAAATACGAGAAAAATGGGATAAAAATCATGATTGATTATCAATACGTTATCAGGTCCCAGGGGTTCGCAACGCGTCGAAGACCGTCTACCAGGAATGGGTTGATTATTACGGCACCGAGGACGTACCGTGAGTACCGTGCTAATGTGGCCCCATATATACCATGAGTACCGTGCTAACTTGGCACCTTACCGTAAGTACCGTGATAACTTGGTCCCATATATACCATGAGTACCGTGCTAACTCTGTCTCTTATACACATCTAGATGTGTATAAGAGACAGTGCCACTACCGTGTATTAGAATCAAGGCAGTAATGCCACTACCGTGTATTATAATCAAGGCAGTAATGCCACTACCGTGTATTATAATCAAGGCAGTAATGCCACTACCGTGTATTATAATCAAGGAAGTAATGTAACAGTTCTTCTCAATGCACGAGGAGCGTCAAGTGTAACCATTGTTGCACAGCAGTTGAATGTACCACACCGTCACCCACCAGTAAATTGTTCATGCAAACATTCTAGCAAATATATTCAAGTAAAATTTATCGTGTCTAGGAATTAAATGCGAAAAAAAAGTTACAATTACATAACCATTGAAAATGTGAAAAATATTCTCGCGATCTCTAGCTTTCTAGTCTACTAATGAACAAAATAAATTGTGTGAATCCTCCCATCGTCAAAATTGAACACATAACAGCAAAATTACGGACTCGGCAATCGTGACATCAATGTTCAAATTTACAGCTCCGGCCAAGTTTGCACGTCACTCGCCAGCATCGCCAAGCCAGCGATGGGTGGCGGGAAGTATCTTGGTGGTGTAGTGTTAGGTCTCATTGTATTATGGCGTTATGTCTCTTGGTGGTGTAGCGTTGCGTCTCATTATGGTATGGCGTTAGGTCTCTTGATGATGTAGCGTTAGGTCTCATTGTGGTATGGCGTTAGGTCTCTTGATGGCGTAGCGTTAGGTCTCATTGTGGTATGGCGTTAGGTCTCTTGATGGTGGAGTGTTAGGTCTCTTGATGGTGTAGCGTTATGTCTCTTGGTGGTGTAGCGTTAGGTCTCATGGTGGATTTGGGTTCGGTGTTTGAATGGTGTTTAGAGTTAGGCGCTATAATGCACTGGAGCTGGGCGTTTGAATGGAGCTGGGTTCCTCGATGACGTGAGGAAAGTCACTTGATGGCCACGTATTCCTGGCTGATGAGGTCGTCCCAGTCTGGATAAACGCGCTCCTTCATCCTGACGCAGTAGGCTGCCAGGCGGGGGAACTCTCCTGGCATGCGAAATGTTCATAAGTAATCAAGATCATCAATGTAATTACATCATAATTTAGTACATCAATGCAATAATCTTCTAATTTAGAAAGTCTCCACCAGTAAGTACAGTACCTGTCAGCAGTGCCAGTAAGTACAGTACCTGTCAGCAGTGCCTCGTATGGAGTGCCAGTAAGTACAGTACCTGTCAGCAGTGCCTCGTATGGAGTGCCAGTAAGTACAGTACCTGTCAGCAGTGCCTCGTATGGAGTGCCAGTAAGTACAGTGCCTGTCCGCAGTGCCTCGTATGAGTGCCAGTAAGTACAGTACCTGTCAGCAGTGCCTTGTATGGAGTGTCAGGAGCGTTCCACATGAGCTGAGCAAGGCTGCCAAAGACACCGCAGTCTGCAGTGCCAGGAAGTCTCCCGCAGAAATATTCTGCGTCTCCTGCGAATATTTAATTTGTAGTCGCACTTCACAAGCCCACAAAAATTAATAAATAAAAACAATGAAAATAGGTACCCAGTTAATGCACATATAAAAAGCAGTGGCAGAGCCGACAGTAGGAGGCCAAGGACCTACAATTGCTGACAAATTATCGCTTTTATATATTGCTACCCAACATCCAGCTATTGCTGCAAAACAATTTAATGTGCTGAAATGTGAACAAATTATTCTTCACATGTGTGAAAAGGTTTCAAATAGCTAGAAAAGGAGAACAGGAACTGCAAATGAAGAACTTATGAATCACAGAAATGCAATATAAAGAGAATTGATAAATGGTCTTGTTGAGTTACTAAAATTAAACGAGTAACTAAAATTATTGCCTCCAATATAACCAATGAAAAGTTTGAGGTCAGGATGGTGGAGCACCACCAGAAAAGAGCAGGAGGTTAACTAGCATAATTGTCAAAGGAAAAGAAACATAGTGTTGTAATGAATGTTGAACCATTAATAATCAACTTATTGATAGATGATTTTACCATTTAAATCATTTAAATATAGCAAGATGTTTTGATATTCTGTCTCGGTTGTATATGCGTTGTGTAACGATTTTTGTAAGGCAGCTTTTTGGTGTTCCATGTTTCGAAGAAAGAAAAGTAAAGAGTTTCTCTCTTAAGTTGAATTAATAACCCAACAATTGGACAGCTTTTGCTAACATCCTCATTCCTAGGAACACTGACTAATGCCAGGAAACATCATACAAAATATATAAAGTTTGTTAATAAATGCGTTTGCTGAATCAACCAACCAAGATAATCGTCAAGAGCTTTCAGAGTTTTGCGATAAATGTGGAAGATTTCTTGTGGACTGTGAACAGCAATGCCGTGATGCCGGCTCCTCTTGAGGAAGCCACGCCCCATGAAGATGGGGAACGCAAAGTTCAGGAAGGGAGGGAAGCGTTGGCTCTTCAGGAATGATTTGCAGCCATCCAAGCAGTAGCGCCAATAAACAACAACCCTGTGATATAAAATTGAAGTTATGATTTGTTCTATTTAATGAATTTTACCTTCACTTGTACTTTGGCCTTGTTTATGCTCCTGACAGCAAGGTAAATTTTTCACACATTTCTTAGACCTTTAATACACACCGTATAAAATAAGCTGACAGATTAAGTGAAAGAACCCGAGTGTACATATCAATAAATAGGTACCGGTATAATATTAAAATTTACATCGAACCTCATATCCCAATATTATTGCACACAAAATAGCTACACTTGAATATTATTGCAAAAATTGAAATTTAACGTCTTATAACTTACCCTAATAAAATTTTAGTGTAAGCATATTTGATACATTAAAATTCTTAGCATATGCAACAAAGCACAACACTGCTATTCTCATGCGTGAAAAAAACACAAAAATTCAACAAACTACTTGAAAAAGGAAATGGAAACGTATATAAAAAATATCGGACTTATTGGCCACTTGTGTTGAAGGTAGTGGAGGCTGATGTGAATACATCTACTCATCATGTAGTAACAAAAATGTTAGTATGAATCCATCAATTCAACAAGATGTAACATTATAGATATCATTAATACATTTACTTCAAAGAAGTAATTGAGATTGAAGCACCAATAAAAAGAAGGCAAAGCAGCAATAAGCAAGAATGCAACTCACCAGAACAGCTGTTCCTCCATCAGGGCTCTGATCCCCTCCAGGGCCCCTTGCTCTCGTACAGAAATGAGGGCATCACCGGGGGGCAAGCGACCAGTGCTGCCTTTAGCCTGTACATCGTGTGCAATTTTTACAGTATTGTTGGGCCATATACAATTAACTAATTCAAAATGACAATCAAGATAGTTTATATACACTAGTGAGGAAATAAAGTCAATATGTCCTACCATGTTGGGCCATATACAATCAACGAATTCAAAGTGACAATCAAGCTCATTTACACTATTGAGGAAATGAAGTCAAAATGTCCTACCATGAATTAAATGAGAACAAGTTACTCAACCATTTTGGTCACAACAATCTTTAAGAAGAATATTTATCACGCTTTTTAATGCCAATCTTTATTAAACATCAAAATTCATTTGTAGCCATTTTCTGTTCTTTTCAACTGATGATAACACGGGTCTCTGAAATATTTTCAATAAAAATATACCGTAAACTGGGGTAACTTAGACTCCCGGGGTAACTTAGACCACTTTTGGTTTTTTTAACAAACACCCCCAAAACTCAAAAACTATTTGACATAGAAAAATTCTGTCAATGGGCATTAAAGGCCTAATACTGAGGCTACGTAACACAATAGAAAGATTAAAAAAGTTTGCATATCTAATAGGTTAAAAAATTAAAAATGTGACCCACGAAAAAAAGCTATTTTTTAAAGCCTCTCAGAGTACCCCCTCCAATTTCTTTATTTTTTAGCAAAATAACTCCAGGTTTTGATACATTGTAGTACAACTCTTCTAGTTACATATGCAACAAACAAATTTGAGGAAAGTCTCATAGTTTGCAAATGGGGGGCGCCGCCCCCCAATGGGGGAACTTAGACCACCTAATGTCAGCCCTGACGGGGTAACATAGACCGGCTTGGAAATTAATTTAAAATTACCATATATAACATATTTTATGTTTGACAGCCTATTTATGTGTCTTCTTTATGTTTCAGACTCTACTGAGTCTTATATATGGTAATTTTAGCTTAATTTCCAAGCCAGTCAATATTACCCTGTCAGGGCTGCCATTAGGTGGTCAGAGTTCCCCAGTTTGGGGCTACTTAGACCACCTGGGGGGCGGGACCCCCCATTTGCAAACTATGAAACTTTCCTCAAGTTTTTCTTTTGCATATGTAACTAGAAGAGTTCTACTACAATGCACCAAAACCTGGAGTTACTTGGAGTTATTTTACCAAAAATATAATTGATTTTACCACCCGGTCTAAGATACCCCCAGAGCTGGCGTAAAAAAGACCATCGATTTTTTTTAAATTACATCAAAACTATGAGAGGCAGGAGCCAGCAATTTATGGTGAGTGAAGCTAGAGTATAGATCTGTATTTTGCATGTTTCAATTTAAGTTTAACTTATCTAGTAAAAAAATGGCATCATTTAAAAAAAAAAAGTGGTCTAAGTTACCCCAGTTTACGGTAGTGATATTTCCATGCAGTTTTTAGTGTTGAGTTTTAAATTTATTTACTTCCTTATCTGGCTACCATAATTTCATGCACAACACGTGAGCGTGACTGTCCTGCAATATTTTAAATACAAGAAATATCAAGAAGCATCAATATATTATTATATAGTATCTATATAATATTATATTTATTATATTTTAGGTATCTATATCTATATAATATAATATTGAATGAACCAAACGCTTCTGTGATGCCAAGTCTCATGTCTCACCTTCTCCTCTGCTATGATTTTATCAAGGATAAAATTAGAGTCTCCCATGGGCTGGCCATCTTCAAAATTGACCCAGGGACACTTGCCTTTTGGGCCAAATGGAACGGAGCAATCCACCTGATGGCAAAATGGAGATGAACCAGCAGGTAGTTATTGAGAAACATATGCATACTAGGTACTTCAAGTTAAAAAAGCATTATTTCTTACTAACCATATAAACAGGTTTGTATACACTATCACTCAGTTAATAAAGTTATAGTCTGACAGTCTGACTTGAATGAATAATTTATTTTCAAATTTGTATAATAGAAAAGTCACGAATTTCATTTGGCAGCAGACTTCTGAAGTCACGGATTTGCACATATAGCATGCAGAATTTGGCTAATGGAAGCATTCATCATTATAGTCATAGAAATAGAAACATAATAGTAAAATTTACACACCTTGTAAGGAATGTTGGCCAGTCTGAAGAATGTTTCCAATTTAATGGCAAAGGGACTTAAGTTGATGCAGGTTTTGCCTCGAGAAAACTGATGAAGTAGAATGACTCCTGGAGTGTGCTTGAACTGGTCAACTTCATACCTGCAAGCAAACAATTTATGAAAATGTTCTTTGATTAGTACTAGCAACTGGGTCAAACTAGTTGAATTCATTTTAATAACAAAAAAATTGTTAGTTTAATTTCTATAAATGAGAGATATTGTTACAAAATGATTATATTTCAGCTGTCAATTTTGTCAATGTTTCAGTATATATTACCTATATATATTCAGTATACCATATTTTATCATTGACCATTCCACCTAAATATATCCATTGTGCAGCATATACATTCAAATGCCAATAAAAAAGGTAGCATTATCCTTCTTGCATTTATAAGAAAAAAAAAACACACCTTTTAGCACGCTGCAATGCATTTTTGTATCTTTTTATAGCATAGCACGATGCCAAGCCTATGAATATTGTGACGGCCTTGCCATAGTGGCTTTCTGGCCATACCAGCTCACGAGATGGAATCAGTGATTGTAGGAAATTCATAGTAATAATTTCATAAACCTGAAATATAGATGAAACCATTCATAGTTCCCGTTCTGTATATTGTTAAATTTAGATTCTCATTAATAAATACATTTTTTATGAATCAAATCAATAATCCAAACAAGTTAAATAATTAGTCACACAAAATCTCAATCCAAAAATATTATTTTGCAGGGTCATCAGGAGTGGTTGGTATACATAAAATATATAAACAAACACGGGATTGGATTTCAAACCACGCGCGATTTTGGAAGCACAGCTGTTTCAAATGAGCTCAGTTCATCAATTTTCATTGCAGTGGAAGGTGGTGTAACGCGTTGGTAGGGTTGGTATTTCGCTACGTTTTCTTATATTGACATGAGAATATACTACCTATACAGAATTCCACACTGATTTTTAGAAGACATTTAGAATGACACTATGGCCTAGCATATTTTCAGATGACCACCAGGCACCAATCAGCTGTGGACTAAGCCATATGTCAGTAAGACAGTAACCAGTCCATCTTGCTTTAAATATTGAGAGCTTTAGTCTTTATCCCATATCCCCACAATATTCTGAAGCAAATAGCCCAGAGAGTAATGATCATCTATGATCCATCACTGAACATTGAATTGAATAACCAATTTGTACCCTGACTTAAGCTTGAAATGTAACTAGCACTCAGCAGTCACTAGCAGACATTGGGCTGTGACCAATCAACCAGTCACAAGTGCCAAGTGGAACTGCATGAATCCTGTCGTTGTGCACCACCAGACAGAAATAAGACAGTCACTTTTAGCTCAAGCTCACAGCATCTGTGATTCTGTGGACCATAGTGGCCCACTGTGCAGAGAGTGAACGAAGATTTAAAGACCTACGGCGACGCATTATCGGCAAAATTTTCGCCTTCAGAAGATCTTGCTGACACATTTAGATTGAAATTCTTGCATTTAATATATTTCTCAGTCTTCAGCCTGTCTCTTATACACATCTAGATGTGTATAAGAGACAGGTGTTTTCCCATCTTGATGATCAGGAGGCCTCTATTAATATTCTTTTGAATTCCCTTGATACCAGCTGTACCAAAACTTGAGGTGGCTAAAGCTTTGCTAAGAGCTATATCATTAGCAAAGAACTTCGATACAGTTGCTCATCTGGAAGAGGCTCCACTACAATGACCAGAGGATTTGCATTGGCATCTGCAGATGGAGAGTCCCCCTCCCCCAGCTCAGGCAAGTCTGGGTAACAAGGGGAGGAGTGTACCCTCTGGCCAGCTGTGAGGACTGAGTCAGCATCACTCTCATTGTTGGAACCTAATGAGGGCAAGAACCCTTCAAAGTTTGCATCTTCATCATGGTGCATATTCGACAGCGCCTCTTGATCTTGAACAGTTGTTCTCACTATTGTCTCAGAACCTAGCCACAAATCAGAGCCTTCACAATCCACAGTGTTAAGGTTGTTACATGTCCCACTCGGGAACTGGGTCTGTGAGTCAGAATGGATGCTCTGGTTTGCTGCATGTTTTATCGCAAAGCCTGACGGGCCGGACACGAGTATTGACTGACTCTGAGACATGTCTGAGTCTACATCGTCATCAGTCGATCCAGATGAATGGCTATTACTTTTTTTTCTACGTTTCCCCTTCCTCATCTTCCTAAGTTAAGTGAAAGTAACCTACAAACTATCGAATCAGATACACAATTGATTAGTTTAAAGAGAGCTACTCACGTACGTCCGTCTTCGACGAAGTCTCCGATCGTTTTTTCGAGTCACTGAATTCTTTTTTCTCAGAGCCACCACGCCCCAAATCCAAATCTAACCGGCGTGACGTTGCGTTCCGCTGTTACATTAATTTGAAATGCATTGCATTTTCAATTTCAAAGGAGTATAAAATAATTTTAAATTCTACATGGAACAAGTTTACATTCAATTTTATAACCATAATAAATCTCGTTGGTTCAATTATGATCAGTTTTTGTTCCAGACGTCATGTCAAAGCCAGAAGTCATTATTAACATGTTAGTGCCTGTGGATTCAACATCGGCAGGCAAAGTAGATCAATGCTTTGGCCTTTGGTTACTCTCTATTCACTTAAAAACAATTTACTTTGTTAACACGTTTTTCTTAGCTTAGCTTCGCGTTTGTTTGTTTATTTGTTGTTAACATTGACAACGAAAATTAGCCCACTTCTGATTGTTCTAGAGATCTGAAATTCGGCATGCAGGCTATTTTCGCCTAACAATTTCAGATACAATCATAAAAACTAGTTATTAGAGACCGAAATTAGTTTAATTGAGTAAAGTATATATATAGTATATGTATATAGTATGACGTGCGGGCGCTCACGTTATAGACAAGCAGGCGCTAACGCTGCGTATCATCGATACGTACGTCAAGTCATACTTGATCAAGTCTTATTAATCGTTTTTCTTGTGGACTAAAAAGTAGAAAATAAAATACTTTAAAAAACTTTTTTAAAAACACGTTTTTCGTGTGGACTAAAAAGTAGAAAATAAATTATGGTTCGCCCCAAAAAAACGTGGGTCGGGCTGTACGTTCACCGTCAAATTTCCAAAATTTAAGTGTTGTGTGCTTTTCGCTTTAATCATAAATCTGCCCGACACACGTTTTTTTTGGGGCGAACCATAATTTATTTTCTACTTTTTAGTCCACACGAAAAACGTGTTTTTTAAAAAGTTTTTTAAAGTATTTTATTTTCCAATATATTCACATGTATCATTTTTAATTGAACCTTGCATAACTGAAAAAAAATTGTTTTCAGAAATCGGAGTAAATACGAGTTGAAGAGAATGTGCGCCCAAATAGAGTACGATGTATATAAGGCATTTGAGCTCTGAGGCAATAACCGCGATTCATCAATGAGCTATCAATTTATTGCTGTTATTAATGGATATCAAACAAAAAATTAAAAAATATTTTAATAATCATAAGATGATTGCATATGTTCAATTCATAGGAGCCTGGTGCTTGACTGAGGAAACGTAAACCTAAACATTAAACGTAAGCCTAAACTACCACAAACGCAGTAATGCCACGCTAAAATATGCAAGACTTGGGCCGCTACAGTGGAGGTGCGTCCTTGGAATTGACAACGGGACCGGGACGCCGGCAACGCAGACACTTGGCGGGTGATGCAGACACTTGGTGAGCAACCCAGACATTTGGCAGGCGATGCAGACACTTAGCAGGAAACGCAGACACTTGGCAGGCTGCATAGACACTTGGTAGGTGACTAAGATACTCTGTGGGTGACGCCAACACTTGACGAGAGATGCAGATATTTGGCAGGAGACGCACCCTTGGTGGCAGATGCACACTTGGCAGGCGATGCAGATAGACAATTGGCAGGCGGCAAAGACACATGGCAAGCAATGCAGATACTTGGCAGGCGGCACAGACACATGACAAGCAATGCAGATACTTGGCAGGCGGCACAGACACATGGCAAGCAATGCAGATACTTGGCATGTGATACAGACACTTGGCAGGCGGCACAGACACATGGCAAGCAATGCAGATACTTGGCAGGCGGCACAGACACATGGCAAGCAATGCAGATACTTGACATGTGATACAGACACTTGACAGGCGTCATAGACACACAACAGGCAACACATACACTTGGCAGGCCGCGTAGACACTTGGTAGGCAGCATAGACACTTGGTAGGCAGAGTAGACACTTGGTAGGCAGCATACACTTGACAGGCAATGCAGACCCTTCTGGTCTACTGCAGAAGAACTGACGCTGGTGCCTGAGGTTTGCTTAGGGTCCAGGGTTGGTCGCCCAGAACGTGGTCTCCCCACCAGGGACTGCAATGTAATGATAATTATTAACATGGACCCTTTAGTGCTCAAACTTTCCTTGCAAATAACACTAGCCAAACAGCCATTGTATCACTGTCACGATTATTTAAACACGTTTATGCAAGCAAGGGTCAGCTCTGATCATTAATATAAATCATGCTGACGGTACGTATAGCAACCAAGCCTTCAAGCTTACGTTTAAGCTATTTTTGGGGAGCATACTTACCCTAGGGGCAAAGAAAAAGTTTGTTTTGCGATATAATAAAATATAAAAATATGATAACTCTTGTTCTGTAACTTCAACAGAGACTAATATAATATCATTGTCATTTATCTTGGGTGAATGTTTAACACAATTACATTGATGAAGCCTATTGGGCAGTAGCTCGGGGTTGGATGACATAAAGACATCCCCGTGGTCACCAGCGCCTGCAGCAGATCCCCCAGCAGTGGAAGGCTCACCGCTACCACCAGCGACTGCTGCAGCTCCCCCAGCTATGGACGATTCGCCGCTGCTGCTCTGTAGGCATAGAGGCAGGTTATTCCAATACAGGTTTCCACCTACAGGTTAACAATCCCTACATCACTAGTAACAATTGGTCAGCAACTAAGCCCAGTTTATATATGAACTACAAGCTGAAATAGAAGAACAATTGACATGAGGATTTGGCCTATTTTACTGACTTAGCAGAGGCCTGCCATGTAAATAATTAAGAAAAGTAAACACATGAATGAATTGACTGCAACAAAATACAATAAAAAATAAAACATTAGACTAATAATTTAAATAGGATATAAGCTAATTGACGATTTGAACTAAGTTTCTGCCAGTGTGTGTCTACAAAATTTGAGTTCTACTTTGCGCTAATAATCTTCACCTGAAGAAAAAATGGAATCTCCTTCACAGTAGAAGAAGATACCAGCAGAAATTTGAATGAAGGTCTGACATTTGAACTTAATAATGATTCTCGATCATCAGCTTAAAGTAAAGTTGAAGGAATGAATGCCAGTTTATCCTTCCTGTCTTAGCGCTTTACACATTAAATTGATACCCTAAACAGCCTTTGCCATAGCTGAACTTCCTGGCAATCTTTATTGCTTGTTTAGCATCAAAAGCTAAAGGTCAATTGAAAGCTAATGCAATTTGGTAAGAGTAAAATTGGTTATTTTTGGAAGATGAATTTTGTCTTTCCAGAAAAAAATTTAGAATTTATCTATTTACTTGTGATATACTTTGAAATGAAGGTGAAGATCCAATGCAGTTTTCCACAACATTCTCATTAAGAAATGAAAATCTAGAATTGAAACAAACAAAAACTAAAAATGCTCGAACAAATTGTAGTTAATCAACATCATCTACTTAAGCAACAGGATGATGATAACAAAGCTGATATCTAAAACTTTATCACTTGCAAATGGTAATTTAGCAAGCAATTTTCCCCAATTATAAAAAATTGCAATCAATTTTAATGGATGATTCAAGCCACTTGTGATTTTGAAGCATTTTGATGAATCAGTTTCGTACTCTGCCTTCCTGCTTGTTTCACTCAAGGCAATGAAAATTAACAACGTAGGGCCCGCCAAGTGCCATGTGAATAACAATACTACCTGCCGGTCCCTCAGCTCCATCAGTGATGAGCAAATAACAGAGGGACGTCGCGGCCATCAGAAGCCATGACAATACCTGTCCCTATACCTGTCCCATGACAATACCTGTCCATGAAGCCATGACAATACCTGTCAATACCTGTCCCTATACCTGTCCCTCACAATACCTGTCCCTCACAATACCTGTCCCTCACAATACCTGTCCCTCAGCTCCATCAGTGATGAGAAAATAACAGAGGGACATCATGGCCATCAGGAGCCATGGCAATACCACCCACCTGTCCCTCAGCTCCATCAGAGATGAGAAAATAACAGAGGGACATCATGGCCATCAGAAGTCATGGCAATACCACCCACCTGTCCCTCAGCTCCATCAGTGATGAGCAAATAATACTGAGGGACGTCGTGGTTAGCAGGAGCCATGGCAATACCACCAGCTTGTCCCTCAGCTCCATCAGTGATGAGCAAATACAGGGGGACATCGAGGACAACAGGAGTCTCCTTTGGATCTTCTCTTTTGCATGGCACACACGACGGGGGAGGAACCAGAAGGCCCCCACACCCGGGGTTGAGGGGTTCCAGTGCCTGCTAAAACTCGTGCCTATATTGGTTATATTTATAATTGAAGTACACCAGCATATTTGAATACAAAAGAAAATATAGGTACAAAAAATACAAGTGAAGAGGATCATAAAACATAAAATTGACCCAAGGAAGTTCCTTTTCAAGCAATGTCTTCATGGTTAAAGAAGTAAACAATGAAAGCTTGGCTCATGGTATGACAACCAACACAAATGAGCTTTCATGAACTGATTTAACCTAAATTTTGATCAACTATAAACCTTGGGTTTCATGATATATTTAATGAGTTAAATTGTATTATCCAAAGAACATGTATACCTTATCATCATAGGAGAAGGGTTCCTCCTTGACATCTACATCCTCAGTTCCATCCTCAATCTCGTCCTTGAAGTTGTCAACAGGAGATTGAGCATCAGCCTCTAATGCTGCACAAGCAAAACATTTATTTATAATTTTTCAAATACCATAAACTTTAATAATTGTGTGCAATGAGGAAAAAATTCGTATGTTTCTGAGATAGGGATTTTCCTCGGGTATAGAACATGAGAATTTTGTGCCCTTCTGGTGAAATGTTTCATACAATGGAATTCCAGCTACTGAACTTCACACATTTCGCATTTCAGTCTCCAATCCCCAGAAAGAACTGAAACCAACATGCCAATAACTTTCATTTTAAGCATTACCTGAAGACTAGACTTACTTTCAGACTTCGCTTCACCAGCAGATAATTGAGGGAGGCTCTGCTTAGCACACAAAATACCCCCGTCTGCAGCTTCAGCGCATCGTTGCAAGACAATGCTGCATTCTTGAATATTATAATTAGTCAAGTCTTGTCTCAAGTTAGCAGCATATTTCTCATTACACTTTTGACAGTACCAGGGACCCTTTGGTATCTTGTCCATTTTCAAACACTCCACATGGAACCAGTCTCCTCCTCCAACATTTTTTTCAGCCATTCTTTCAATGTATGATTCACACTTCTGAGCACTGGAACATCCAATCAATTTGGAATGCTTAATTTGAGATTGACTTCCTTTATCATTCTTCATTTGGCAGATGCAGTAAACTTCCATTCTATTCTTCTTAACATTTGCAGTTTCATTCCCTAAATTTAGAGAGGTCCCTCCCATCTGGAATTCTCTGCTTTCATTTGGTTGGTCAAATGTTTCTATGCTTCTGGCATCACCTGCTTTATTTACCAATGGAGATAAAGGAGGTACAACTTCATGTTGCAAAATGGTTCCATTTGCAGGTGAGTGATTTATTGGCTGGGTAGAAGCAACCAAAACTGAATTTAATGATGCTGGAACTTCATAATTTTTTAGAACATTTGGCCCAGTAAAATCCATTCTTGTTCTTTTGCAGTCCTCTTGATTTTGATCAAATGCATTTTTTCGTTTTGTTAAATTCTGATAGCTGATTTTTCTACTAAGTTCATCCAAGTAATTATTCACAGTATAGCTCCTTTCACTAGGTTTTTTATTTTTCATTAGAGATCCTTTATGTCTGCCCAGAAATATCTGTTTTGCAAGGTCAGCATTATGCTGTACGATGTTTGTGTTGCATTTAAGAAATACTTCCATCTGAAAACTGTCAATGGTAGTAGAATCTCCTGTCATTTTTTTGTTTGAGTCATACATGGATTCAGATCTGCTCATCATTGATGTCATGTGTGACATCACTCTCTCTGTAGCTGCTAGAGAAGGCCTCATCAGCTGGATGATTTCAAGGCAACGAATGATGTTGGTTGGATACACATTTTTGGGATTGTTTTCTGCAATGTAACGAGCAAAGGCATGAGTGTAGGATTGTGATTTAGAAGTGCCAGGCCTAATAATGCTGTTGTTGGGCAGAGCTTGATATTGGGATTGAAAAATAGCCATGAATTTTTCATAATCACTTATCAAGCATTCACACTCCTCAACTCCCTTGCACTCACTTCCACATAACTCAAATTGGATGTTAACAGTATTGAACAGTTGCTTGATAGCAGTTGAATTGCCCTCCAAGTTGTTTCTATGGTGTAGTGAAAACAACTGCGTTGCAAGAGCAATGGGCTGAGGGATCATCAAGTAATTGGGAGCTTCATTACAAATTTGATCAATCCATTTGGAATTGTCATTCATCAAATTTATCACAGTGTCTTTTCCTTGAAAATTTTCTACATCGATAAAAGGTGTCTTCAATTCCTGCAATTCTGAAGCCAGGTTGTCAACAAGGTGCTTGTATTGAAATGGTCCAAAGTCAGTGTTTTGAGCTATTTTCTCTTTTTCAGATATGAGCTTATAGAGTCTCCGAATAAACATGACTTTAATAATAAAGGAATCCTGGATTATTGATTTCAATATGACTATTGCTTTATCACTTAGGAAAGTCTGGGTATTCACCAGTTCAGGAAGGGCTTCAATCATGATGGGTAAGTTTTTCAAAATTGCATCCAAGTGCAGGTATAAATACTGTGCAAACCTAGTTTGACCCTGGTTTGGTATTGTACTGAAGCTTGATCCGTGATAAAGGTTTATGTGTTTGTGTATGATATTTTTAACAATATTGTAATCATTTACAAAAGCTGAAACACATTTGCATGTTGCCAAAGTTTCTGACACCCATTTGGGCATGGACCTCTGCAATAAATTTTCTATTTTATGGCAGAAGTCAGGGAGGCCATTCAAGTTTTGAAATTCATTCGAAGTCTTCAGCATCTCAATCATGCCACTTTCATTTCCTGTATATACAGCTTCGCTATCTGTGCATACAAAGGCAACTGTTGAGGGATCAAGGAATAAAGAGACATTTTCTTTAACATGATTAGTAGTAGCCACAGCACCTCCCTGCCTGATCATTGGAACCCCTAAAACCATTTCTTCAGGCATTCCATCATCCCTAACATAGGTTGCAACAATGGCCTGTCGTGATACATCTTTTGGAGCAGTACCCTTATCACAGCTAATAGTGATTTTTCTCTTGCTCTTTGTTGCTGCAAAAGTGCTGTAAAAGAATCTCTTCATAGTAGTAGCACAGGCTTCATAATTTGCTGAGAGCACATGACGGATCCCTACATGCGTTTGATGTTGATTGCCCAACGGATTGCTCAAGTGTGATGGGCAGATAAGAGACAGAAAGGCACACAAGGCAGTATACAATCTGAATGGTAACGAATGAGAAGTCATGAAGATTCCAGCAATCATAGTGTTTCTTGTTGCTTTTTCCTGTTCTTCTCTAGTTGGAAATCCTAATCTTCGTTGACTTTCATCATCGGATTTTGTAAATTCCATAGCTTCTTTGTGTTGTTGACTTAGCAGATGCATTTTCATGGCTATATTTTTCTTCCTGGTGGTAGTGAAGGTCATTCCCTCAGTCCAGGATTCTCCAACTTTACGCTTACCTTTGCTAAGACGTCCGCGGCTGAGGCAGACTTTACAAAAATATACTATTTGATCATTTTTACTGTTGTACTGTGATAAGAAAGAAGAACCATCAAAGGTTCTGGCTTTGTGTCGTGAAACTACACGTTTTTCTTCCTCTGTTCTTCCACTAAGTTTCGCAAACTTCCCTGTGCAGCAACAATCATTTGTTTTGTGTGTGCATTCATCAAGTGCAACCTTCAATGCAAGTTTGAAGAATTTATCAGCATTTTCAAGAGAATTACAAGATTTGCATTCAGGCTTGCACATTAGGATTGGCTTTATTTTTCTATTCATGGAGACAGATGAATAACTCTGTTGTTTTGGAATGTGTGAAGGTGATGTAAATGATACAGTTGGACTTGGATGTACTTCTTCTTGATTTGTGTTCATTTCTAATGGGACTGGTGCTTCTGTTAAGTCAGGCATTGTGCTAGAAATGTTGCTGTTGCATGGAGTTGTTGGAATGTCTTTTTTCGTGATATGGGATGAAATGGATGACATGGATGGTGTTGTTTCTGTAGACGACAGGAAAAGGGATTTCTTCATCTTTTCACCTCTAGCATCCAGAGAAGAGCTCTTTTCAGTCTGTTGACAATATATTATATATTCATCTGGGTGGTGACGTAGGAGGTGTCTTGATAAATTACTATAACTTGTTCTATCAAACTTTACCAATCCCCCTCCAAATGTGCAAAATTTGCATAGTGCTTGAAGTGAACCATCTACTGCTGATACATTAGAAAATGCAAACTTAATTAGAGGATGAGTTGAAGCCATGATGACGATGGAGTTTTGAAGAATAGCTCTGGAAGAACAGAGATGACCTAGAAAAAAAGTACACACATGAATTTTAGTAAATGATATGGGAGGGAAGAACTGCCAATTCACAAAAACATCACCTTAACTTGTATTTAATAAATAGAAACATTATATATTCATTTAATGGATTATTAAATGCTACAGTAGCCACATATTAATGCTACAGTAGTTTGATGCTCTTATTATAGTGTCCCGCTACAATAGGAGCGGGCTTGCTGCTGTCAGCCCCCTCATAGGTACTAAAGCGCACAGCTATGCCGCTCTTTGTGGAGCAAGCGCACTCTTATTTTTTACCACCATGCTCCTCAATTACACAGGTGCATGGTCATTTATAAGGCATTTAGAATGCCACCATGTGCTGGACCATACTCTGTAAGTTTGTATCTGTAGTAAATTCATCAAAGTCAGCTGGCATGGGCTTAATTGTTTGCACATTTAGTTCAAGTATTCAATTAATTAATTTTACATATCCCAACTTATGAATTTAACAATATACTTTGAGATTGAAGAAATATTCAACTAAATTTCATATAATAAACAAGAAAACTTCAAATTAATAATATAAAATAGGATATATAGAATTATTTTTGGAGATTTGATACAATTAAAAATTAAAATGAAGCAAGATGCCATTTTTAAAGCCGCCATACTTACCATAGCCAGGACGTTCCAATATTACAAAGCACATGCCCGCATTTGCACCTCGCATGACTATAACTTCAGATGAAGGAAAGTTAACTCTTTTAATGTGAAGTTAACTTCAAATAAATCATGTACAATTTAATTCTTTTTTTTTAATTTAATATTCAAAACGAAGTTTAACTTTACTAGTGTCAATAAAAAATGGAGATGAAGACACTTGTCAATCGCCATTTTTAAATGGCCTTGCTCTGCCAACGGCAAGGCACTTCAAAACTTCAACATTTCACCATTGACCCATTGACTGCATTACTGTAATTCTAAGTATTTAGTATTTTCAAAACTTTGTATGCACAATTGCACAAATACACTTGTGCCCAAAATTATTCATACCCCTTCAGATATATAATAAATTCAAATTTTAAAGAACAATAAAGATCATTTACACCTACAACTCATTCTTCTAGAAAAGGTTGTCATTATAATGTAAAACAAATTTACTGCTAGAAAATATTTAGAAAATAACTTTCAACTGTAATTATTTAGAATTTTGTGAGTAACTAACTGTTCATAAATATTTGTACCCTCTTATCCCAGATCATTTATCATAATATTTAAGAAGAAGAACTACTGAAAATAGTAGTAGAAGAACTACTGAAGTAGTTTAAGAAGAACTACTGAAAATAGTATTAGATACTCAATAATTGTATTTCAAAATTCAATGTTACTAAGCATTATAATATTTTTCTCTGCTAAATCTGAGAATAGGTATAATTTTTCCACAATTTAGGGAAAAGCTAAAATTTAGCTAAAAGTTTGAAGATGGCAAAGAAAAAATAGCTTAGTAATGATCTCAGAAAGAAAATAGTAAATTTCCACAGAGAAGGGCTGGGATATGAAGCAATATCCAAGAAATTTGATGTTCCTACGTCTATAATCAGAGCATTATCAAAAAATTCAAATCATTCAACAGGGTGGATAACCTGGTTGGTCTAGGAAGAAAAGGAAAAATCTCCCTTAGATGTGCTAGGAACATAATGTGCAGTGGTGCAGTGGTGAGAGACTCTGTCTCGTGCCGGAAAAAACTGACCTATTCATACTGACCTATTCATACCCCTTCTACTATGTAACTGGGGCCCCCCTCCCTAGTTGCCACTACCAGGACGGGCAATTACAACAACAACAACAACAGGAACACAATACAATCAGTTTGCAACAATCCTAGGATCCCTAGTCAAGAAATTCTGTCAAATTTGGATGCTTCTGGTATGGAGGTATCAAGCCAAACATTGCAAAGAAAAACGTGTTGTAACAGACTGAAAGGTTGTCAACCCAGGAAAACCCCTTTACTAACAGATAAGCATGTGAAAGCACATCTGGAATGTCCCTAAAACTCGTTTTAATTCCCCAGCCTCCTTTTTCTCCAAGATTTTGTGAACAGATGAGACCTAAGTATAATTATTTGGGCACAAGGATGTTGCTTATGATGGAGAAAAAAAAGGAGGCTCATAATCCAAAGAACACAATCACCACAGTTAAACTAAGAGTGGGAATCTTATGTTTTTGGGTTCTTTCTCTGCTAGGTAACCAGGAAATATGATGAAAGAAAACGGGATCATGAAAAAAGAAAAATATCTTGACATTATTATAAATAACATCAAGCAGTATGCAGAAAAACTTTCTCTTGGTCCTGTTTGGATTCTTCAGCAGGATAATGATCCGAAGCACACATCAAAAATTGTCGAAGACGTGCTTTAAGGATTCTCACATCAATGTCATAGAATAGCCTACCGGCAATGCCAAATAAGCCACCACTTTCGCCGGAAAACCCGCTAAAATATGTTGAATTTTGGAACACCAAGAAGCTAAAAATTAAATGTAACACTTGTGCAGGTTTGACTTCTGTTTACTATTGAGAAAAGTCACTAATTTTTTTCATTGCTCTATCAATAGAATGGAAGTTCTTTCAACTCGTCGGGAGTGGCAAGGTATATAGTACCACTTTCACGTTGCCAACAATATTGACAGAGGGTACACTCAAGTCACCATAGACTGTTGAGGTTATTGCAATCATTGGGTGAATAGCACCCAAGTGAGGTACAGTAGAGAAAGCCTCAAATTCACATGGAACCAACCCTCTAAGTTTGGTCTTTCTTCAACAAATTAAAGAAAAAATTTAAAATATTGCTTTTGTATGAAAATAAATGTTAACCCCAAGAAATATATCTTTCTCTTAGCTACCATATTTCAGAGGATTTGCACTAAGATTGAATTTTGGGATTAGTAGAAGCTGTCCTTGTCACTGCATTGATGTTGGAATGGCTGTTTGGTGTTCATTCCATTCATTTGCTTCTACTTTACCGAAAAAATGCAATACATGGATGAACATTACATACAAAAAATTAGTCTGTTACCATCAATACCATGTACCTAGTGAAGCACACAGCAATTCAAACAGAATTCAAATTTTTTGTATGCAGTGTGAACAATTTATTTGAACCTAAAAATGTAATTCTCAACCCCATCTACAACACTGGGGCCGAGATTACAGCCGAAAGAAAGAGCGCATTGCCTGCAGATACTAAGAGATCTCAACCGCTGAAATGCTTTTGTAGTAACAGCCGCCAGACACTGTAATATTAAAAGCAAGTAACTACACCCATGAAACTACGCTGCAGACTTGCAAGAAATAATGTATTCCATCAACCTTAATGTATTCCATCAACTTCATCAACTAGACATCATTCTCTATCAGAGAGGGCCTTAGGTACACAGAAGTCCTATGTTCTCAGCAATATCCCTAGGCACCGTATTACAGAGCTTGCAGTATCATACACGACTGTGTCAATTTTGTTGGGGTCTTCTTCCCACCTATGAGGTTGTTACCAGGGGTTGTAAATACTATTTTTACAGCACAACCTTACTGCATACATGATCTTTATTCTCATTTTTAATAATATATTGAGTGGGCAGGTAGAGCATTAATTTTACTTTGTGTTAGTTAATATTGTTCTTTTCTTATTTTCTTTACAGTATTACAGAATTACAGTATTAACAGAATTCAACCAGCAAGTGCAATAGTCTGATCAAAGTGCTCATTGAATTTATCTGCACCATAGTATAGGCATCATCACCTGTCCATGTTCCTCTTATTCGCTAATTCTTTACTACTTCTTGTCCCCACAATTCGCAATTTCTTAACCACTCATTTGGCACAATCCTTGACGTCTCTCATAAGCTGCTGATCCCATGTAATAAACTATGTAACTTGTTTTTAACTTTGTTTAATAAAACTTAGAAAACACCAACTTTAATTCCCCATAAACTAAGTAGCTGCAATAGACATATACAAGCTGATGACGAGTTCATCACACCCACATAACAATAGTCAAACTTCTACAAGGTTAGTTTAGGATACACATAGATGGTGTATGTAGGATTGGTTAGTAGTACATGCAGAAACGGTCTCTTGTAAGAGTGTTTAATAAGTCTTGTGCAAATTACCTCTTTCAAGAGTGGTTAATGGGTCTTATGCATATGACCTCTTTCAGGGCTCATGTTTAAAAATATACAACGATTCTAAAATTCTAAGGTCTGAAACACTGGTTGTGGAGGCTAATGGCCTAAAATCACTATCGGACACCGGGACGTTGCACTGCTTGGCATGAATATGTACAGCTGAATGAGGGGGATGAGCAAGTATATTCCCTGTTCTATAACTCCTGCCCCTACGCTCTGCAAGCCCAGTATAAAAATTGCATGATTTCATACCGACATGTGCAGATGCACACTGCACACAGCTATATTGATAAACTAGGGAGTAGGGATGATCGCATAAGAACAGGGATAGGATCTTTGTACTTAAAAACTGAGCTAATTTTTAAATTGTTCACCAGCAATACATGAAGATTGACATTCAGGGGTATTTAGAGAATAGATTTTTCAATTCCTTTGCCATAGTCTCAGTCTTTGCCTTTTTGTTTGTATAAATTAGCAATGAAATTTATCCTTCAAGTCCTGCCTCAAGAAGCAAATGTCCTACACAAACCTCACCATTTATTGCAACTTTGTATGCACTTAGGTCACCAGATATATTTAGAATAAATTAGTAACTATAATACAATGTCTCCAAAATTCGGAGTACAAGCAATATGAACCTCTTTTTACTGCATTTCAGCTCAGAATGACCTTGGGTTAGTACGGAAAACATTTTCTCAGCATTAAAGCATTGCCCAAATGCAGCTCCAGACAGGAGAAGGAAAAAATTCGTTTTGCTTGCAGAGTTTTCATCATGATGATTTGGAATCTCACAGCTATTTACTAATTAATTGTCTGAAATGCATTATACTATCTTTAAGCAAGATTAATAAATGTTCCAGTATTCCCCTATGATAACAAAACGTTTGTATAGAAACCCTTTTAAGAAATATTTCCCTTTCCATGTAGCGTGGTGACTTGAGTGAGGCAACGACTTTAGTGGCATTGATGGTAGTCAAAGTCCCTATCATGATGGGTTCTAAATGCCTTCTAAATGACCATGTACCAATGTAATTTAGGAGTGCAGTGGCCAACAATAGTAGCACGGCCAGGGTGGCAATCTAGGATTAGGGCAAGTCCTTCTTTAGACACGTTCACAATTTCTCATACACTCGTTCACATTTCCTCACAATATCGTTCACATTTCATCATTTGAAATACCACTTCTGTAGTATTGAATTTGTTAGCACGTGAATTCGAATGGTATAGTTCATTATTAAATTAGTCACTGAACGACAGCAAATTGTTAAACCAGTCCATATGGACCATATCGAAGTGCCTGGTACGTATTTGGGAACACAATTAACATCTCGGATTACATTTTTCACTTCCCG